ATTTTTAGTAGAGACGGGGTTTCACCATGTTGACCAGGATGGTCTCGATCTCTTGACCTCGTGATCCACCCGCCTTGGCCTCCCAAAGTGCTGGGATTACAGGCGTGAGCCACCGCGCCCAGCTCTACCCTCCTTCTTAACATAAACTCTCTTCCTGCTTCAAATAGGGTGAAAAGATCCTTAAACTTGCTGAAATATGTAGGAAATTTGAAACTGAGGAAGAAAAAGTGCTGCCTTTTTATTCATCAGTGTTGACTCCTAAGGAGCAGGAGGGGATTGAGGAGAATAATTTAGAAGAGCTTACTGAGGAGCTCGCCAAGGTAAAGGCTGGGGGATGGTGGGGCATTGGGCAGCATTTGCTAATGGGTCTTGATGCACACTTTCTCCCTATAACTCCACTCCAGGTGATCATGGATTACATAGGGATGGATAATTTCTGGAAAAGGTACAACAAAGTGAAACTGGAGCAACTGAGCCTCCAACACAGACGAGCCCAGCTGCTAGATATCAATGGGAAGCTGCGGGGGATGCTGAAGCAGTACTTGGATGGCATCTCAGTGAGTGACGAAGTGCTGAGCCAGCTCAACCCACTCTTCATAGTCAACCATCGAAGCAACTTACCCCAGCCCTCGTCTACACCTATAGCTCATCCAGGTGATAAACAACATCCAACCACTTAAAATATCACTGAAGCAGCCCACGTGATCTTCCACACTGTGTGATCTAAGGGGGAAAAAAATCTTTTCAATCCCTATTTTTTTTTTGAGAGAGAGATGTAGGGACATTGCTATTAAAAATTTCCATGGAGTTTATGAGCTCCTTATATCTTTTGCATATTGGACAGAGCAGTCCACTCTGAGGACACTAGGAACACTGTGGTCCCAGGGAATAGAAAGAACAGCTAGGCAACTACCAGGAGTGTCACTGCTCAATTAAGCATTGCTCCTCAGAATCAGGGCACCATGGGAGCCAAAACCCATACCTTAAGGACCTAGAGATCCTATGGAAAGACTCAAGACCAGGTCCTTAAAGTCAGTAAGGATAGCAAGGGGAGGCCAGGAGAAGAGGTGATCCAGGGCCTACAACTACCACCCCCAGGCCAGGCAAGATGCAACTCAGAATGCCTTTTCCCTCAGCCCTTTACCTCATTCTCACTTTCTTTTTTTTTTTTTTTTGAGACGGAGTTTCGCTCTTNTGTTACCCAGGCTGGAGTGCAATGGCACGATCTCGGCTCACCGCAACCTCCGCGTCCTGGGTTCAGGCAATTCTCCTGCCTCAGCCTCCTGAGTAGCTGCATTCTCACTTTCAAAGGCAGTCTCAGAAAGTATCAGATGAAGAATGCAAAGAAGTTTTTTTTTAATGTATTATTTATTATTTCTTTTTGCTCTTGTTTCGTTTCTCTTCCTTGAGCTTCTTTTTGGAGACTTTCGGTCTGTTGGCCTTTCTGTATAGGTGATACCCAATGAGGCCCAGGAGGGCTGGCACCATGGCCATCCCTACTAGAGGCAAAATGCCCTTCACCAGCTTTAGCCAGTAGTTGGCTCGGATCAATGCTATCAGCTCCACGTCATACTGCACCACTGCATCCGCTGGAGAGGCAGAGGGATGGAGAGGGTTAGACTCTCAATGCATTTTGTCCGGGGCTTGAATCTGAATGAAAATAGGGAGGGTAGGCCACAGCAAAGCCAACAACTATGAAGCCGGCAAGATTTAAATGTGGGGTTGAATTCCCTTAGACAAGGGTACAGAAGGATTATAAGCAGAGTCTGGTGATAGTCATGTTGACTCCAACTACACATGTGGCTTGGGTCCAGTGACAAGTCTTTGAATGCAGGAAAACTTTCTATGAATATGAAAGGTACAGGCTCTTTTCCATTTGTAAGTGGGAGAACTCTCTATACTAACTACTAACTTATTCTATTTCCAAAAAACCACATGGATAGAATCTTTGCAGGGCTGCAATTAAATGGATTGAAACTAGACTTTTAAAAATCAACCAACCAATGAGCACATTCAGTGTGATTATGAGAAAACAGGAGTTTCAACATAAGAGGTGAAGAGGAAGAAGGATGAGGATGCTGCTTAAGAAGTAAAGGGGCCGGGCGCGGTAGCTCACGCCTGTAATCCCAGCACTTTGGGAGGCTGAGGCAGGTGGATCACAAGGTCAAGAGATCGAGACCATCCTGGCCAACATGGTGAAACACCGTCTCTACCAAAAATACAAAAAAAAATTAGCCAGGCATGGTGGTGTGTGCCTGTAGTCCCAGCTACTCAGGCGGCTGAGGCAGGAGAACTGCTTGAAACTGGAAAACAGAAGTTGCAATGAGCCAGGATCATGCCACTACACTCCAGCCGGGCAAACAGAGCAAGACTCTATCTAAACTCAAAAAAAAAAAAAAAAAAAGTAAAGGGGCAGGTGGAACAGAACTGAGTGGGCAGAAGAGGCACAAATAGGCAGCACTGGGGATGGGGAATTAATAGGGCTTTGGATAAAAGAGTTTCTCCTTGGTCCCTCTACCCTCCTTCCAGGTCTTCCCCTAAGCTGGAACTATGTTGAGAATTACAATCGCTATAATCCATCACACACATCAAAAAAAAAAAAAAGGATTACGATCTTTCTTTTTTTTTTCTTTTTTTAGAGATAGGGTTTCACTCTGTTGGCCAGGCTGGTCTCAAACTCTTGACAGCGTGATCCACACACCTCGGCCTCCCAAAATGCTGGGATTACAGGCGTGAGCCACCGTGCCCGGCCAAGAATTACGATCTCAATACTCTGTGGAGTACAAAACATTTTAGCTAATAGAACATTTGTTAGAAATCTGTCCATCTCAACTGTTCAAAAATAAACATCAGCAGTGACCTATGATGGCTTTTACAGTTAAGGGGGAGACGTGGCTTTAAAAAGTTGCTTTCTGTGGCCAGGTGAGGTGGCTCATGCCTGTAATCCCAGCACTTTGGGAGGCCAAGGCAGGGCGGATCATGAGGTCAGGAGATTGAGACCATCCAGGCTAACATGGTAAAACCCCGAATCTACTAAAACACAAAAATTAGCTGGGTGTGGTGGCGCGTGCTTGTAATCCCAGCTACTTGGGAGGCTGAGAGACAAGAGAATCGCCTGAACCAGGGAGTCATCTCTCTGCAATGAGCCGAGATGGCGCCACTGCACTCCAGCCTGTCGACAGAGCGAGACTCTGTCTTTTTTTTTTTTTTTTTTTTTGAGACGGAGTTTCACTCTTGTTACCCAGGCTGGAGTGCAATGGCGCGATCTCGGCTCACCGCAACTTCCGCCTCCTGGGCTCAGGCA